AGGAGTGCATGGGAGAGATTGGAGAAGAGCGAAGGCCATGAGTTTGGTATCAACTCCTAGTTTCATTCCGGAGAGGTGTAAATCAATTGTCCGGATTTTCGCAATGTGGTCCTGGATAGGTGATGTCCCATCCCAGGACAATTTGGTGAGTTGCTGGAATGAATAGAAGGCCGAGGCAATGTTGGATGTCTGATGGAGTGAAACAAGTTTATCAAATAACTCCTTGGAGCTGGTAAGGTCTCCAGTCCTCATTAGGAGGGCATCAGAGATGTGGTCCTGGATGATTCCATGTGCCTTCTCATCCTTAAGTATCCAGATGATTTCAGGATCCTCCAAGGAGGTAGGTTTTCCTGGTGAGGGCTTAAGCTCCTCTCCAGTAATAACCTGGAGAACTTTTTGCTGACATAGCTTTGAGATGATCCGGAGTTTCCATATCTGAAAATTGTTGGGTCCAGTGGGAACTGGACATGCAGATGTATCGTGTGCTGTGGTCATGGTTCCAAGGTTGCCGTTTCAAATAAGAATTATTTCCTGCATAGCTTTTGCACACCAGGGCTCATAACCTAATAAAACTATGTGAAACTCAGCCGCTGCCCAAGAGGCTATAGAAACAACTTTATTATTTACCTATGTGAAACTACAATTGATGTTAGTTTGAGGTGATCTCTAATAAATGTAATGTAACATACCCCAGCCGCCGCCCAAGAGGCCATAGAAACAACTGAGGTATTTCTATACCAAGCCCCCTACTATTTATAGTCGGAGGTGCTACTCGCTACAGTATAATGACTCCTAGGAGAACAATGGTGACTCCATGGAATGGTGGCTATACTCCATGGAGAACAATGGCTGCTTCAGCAGAGACCGGGTTTATCTGGTTTTGTCAAATTGGACAAGCTACTCTTAGTGTCTATGGCTACCAGAACAATAATATAAGGGTCAACAATCAAGGTCTACTATCTACTGAGCCAACAGAAGAAATTCAACACAATGTTCTTCATGATGGGGTCAGGACCCAAATATGGAAGATCTTTTTTTCTCAATGCTTCATAACGTTGTAGCTGATGACATTACGCCTAAAGGTTATAGATTACTTCCAGAAGAGAAGGATAATTTAGACAATGAGCCTATGTTTGAGGTACTGCAAGTTGGCCAGCGGTGTACAAAAGAGATGCATATATCACTGCAGATGGGCAGAACGGGCAAAACTATGATGTCAAACACACTGTCTACTTACTGTTTCAAAAGGCACTTTATATTTCATGTAAATGTGTGTCATGGGGTGGGCTTAGTTCTTATTAAGACACAATTACTCTACTATTGTTCTGCTGTTTTGTTACCTTAGATTTATGTTGGTTACCCTAACAGCACTTGCTTTTGCATCACTCTACTGGGGTCTTTGCATTCTTTGAATTTTGCGCCTTTTCTTCTTTTGCACAACATAATATATTTTATTCCATGCACCCAAATTTTCTCACTGTTGCACTTTGAATAAAAGTGCAAACAGAGCACCATAGTGGTGCATGTCATAGCATTGGTGAAATCACCAGAGCTTCATGCACATTATGATGGTCATCTTGTCATTCTGACCCATGATCAGCCATGTCTCACCCTTATATTGTGATACCACCAGTAAAGTGACCACTGTTCTATCCTTCAGCTGGATGCAATTGTGGTAGTACTTGTGACCTTTTACTTGCATAACCATCAAAATTGCCGGAATATTGCCAGACACAATGATAAGATACGCATGGAGCATACCCATGTTTTTGGCAGGTATCAAGCTGCCTTTAAAAATGCTCCAATGCCCCAACTGCTTTTTTTTCTTTCCTCTATTATTGAGTCCTACCTTTACTGCCTTCTGTTCAATTTATAGCTGACTTTAACAGAAGCAGATTTTGTACTTTTGCAATGATGCATACCAATAATCCAGTAGCAAGTCCTTTATTACCACCCCAGAACCATTGTTGGACACAAGGAACTAATTGCCCCTGCATATTTTTTGGTCCTCTTGATTACAATGTAAAGATAGGTTTTAACTGGATCACAAAACTATTTATGAGGCTGCTATTAGGCCACCACCAGCTCACTTTGTTACTGTGGTCACCGCTATGATGCCCACTAGTCTCTGATGGAATCACAAATAGCTTTGCCTGCTCCGCATTCTCTTATGTAAAAGCTTATTGCAATCTTCAGTTTTACAGTACTCAATAACTTCTTATTTAAGGGCAAGGCCAACTACCTGGGGACCAATATATGTTCTGCACAGACTCCTTCAAGTGAAGTCTGTGGACAGATGTGGATGGAGCATGGACCACTCCTCAATCCACAACCTTTTGGTGCTGACCCATCTTTTGTTTGTGCGGCACTCCCATCATCTGTTTCTTGGAGAGAGCAGTATCAAACTGCTCCACTGTCCCATGCTGGTACAAAAAATGACAGGCATGTTGCTCATTATACACAGCAAAATGCACAGCTCAATGCCACTTGTCATGGCTATAGTGTACCTGTTGGTCCATTTAATGCTCCTGTGCAGCGTAGACATGGACAAAGTAGCACTCCCGGGAGTTTCCACAGTTATATCAATGTCAGGGGGACTCAAGCTGCTAATACCATAGTTCAGCCTTCCTCACAAACCTTTAGGGCCCATTTGGCAGCCACCGTTTCAAATTGTCGCCCGCCAAAAAAATCTCATTTCATTTCAAAATGGTGCCCTTTCAAAGCGGGCCCGTTTTGGAACGAGCTGACATGTTCAGCGACACAGTTTGTTTTGAAAAGAGCTTGTCACACCACTGAGTACCAATAAGATAAGATGGAAAGTGTTACACTTGGTGACAAACTAGAAAACACTATCTTCTTGCTCAATATGAACTACTTAGGTTTTTTTTTTTTGCAAGAAAAGATGGACTTGATAAATAGATAGATTTCTGTGAGCAGAACTCAAAAAAAAATTGGTGCCTTATAAAGATGAGGTAGATTTTCTGTGGCAAAGATGACAAAAAATCAAACTAATCTGCCTCCTTGTGCTGGTTGTCATGGGCCAAGTTACATCATGTGGTAGCATCGATTATTGAGACCTAAGCTTACTTAATGTACAATCCTGAAATTTGTGTAACATGACGTGACATAGCATGATAAATTTTGTTTGCCTCTCAGCTCATTCAACATAAGCGCGTTTGCAAATGGCTCTTGTTTTGAAACGGTGGCTGCCGAATGGGCCCTTAGGATTGATATGCCTCCCAGAGCAGTGCATCCAATTGTTATGGGGAAAATAGCACTAATTTATTTATTTATTCTAGTGTAGGATTCTACTACATATTCAGAAGTCTATGATCTTATGAGGGGGCCTCACCACATATTCCAAGCAAAGTTATCTAGGCTTCATAATGTTCTTTGGTCTTACATTCCTTGTGACAATTGACACAAACTCAAATCTCCCTGTTTGGAGACAAATTGGAGGTGAGATTGACTCTAAGTTGCAGCTGCAGGGACTAGTTCTTGCAAAATATAAAATATCCATCTCCCCCTTCTGTCCGTGAATACTCAATGGAAGGATAGACATTTTTAGTCCCTGGTAATAACATTAAGGTTGGCCAAATCCTTAGGCCACTTGATTAAATGATCACTTTTAGAAACTGAATGTGCAGGAAAAATAAAGAGTCCAAGTGGCTCTGAGCAAGTCATATGGTGCTGTATGTAGAAAGTCTTGTTGTAACTAATTTTTGCTGATCTATTGTATGTTGCACCCATATTGTGCACTAGGTCCTACTATTGCGAACATCACTGGACAACTTGACACCACCAAGGGATTTTCTCCAAGCACCCATTATTGTTTTGCTGGCAAAGTGATGGACAAATTCATGTCATCCACTCTCCTGGAAGAATCCTCCTTCCCGACTTGTTTTTCCTCCTGCCCTATTAGTATACTGGCATCACAGTAAAATGAATCACTTTTGAGTCCTCAGCATGCATTAAATTATCCTGTACTACTTATACAGGATTTGTCAGTGTATATTCCTTCCTTCATGTTCTTTCTCATTCTTTTTGCACAGCTATACTGTACATAGCCTACCTTTCTTTTACTATATAAACCCCTGTATTTTACCTTGTAAAAATAAGAACTCCAATCCAGACTTCTTCTCTACTCTCAAGTTCACTACTCTGCTACTTGTGATCCAGTGTGGTCACAACACTTCCCACTTTTACCACTGTTAACTACTGCCATCATCACTTGCCACTTCTGAAGTTATTGTCATCCCTTTTAATTAGAGTCCTTCTGAGCACTACAGTCTGTGCGTCAGAAGCCTGCTATCACTGGGAACCCTGTCAGCTTGTCACCTTATGCTACAATTAGCAAGGTAGTGCTCATCCATACTCGTCATAAGCCCCTATCTTCTATAATTTAACTATCCCTCCTCCTCAAAACCCACATCCATACATCTCTGGGTTTTACTTTGAAGGATTATTATACATACCACCCCATGAACAACCAGAGCACCCACTGTTCTAGGAGGCAAAGCCCATAAACAAATTCCATGGAATCTGGGAGGATTGTGTGTTAGTTTGTTTTGTGTGTGGTTTTCTAACAACAGTTCTCATCATCGACAGCATTGGGACAGATTGGATGACCCCAGAATGCCTGGTGTCTTCAGCTGTGTGATCCTGTTAAGAAAAAACAGTACTACATCAGAAAATGAAGAAGATATGGTGTCCAGCTCACCACGATATCCGCTAGCAGGGCGTTCATGTTATCAAGTGAGCATTTCACGTAAAACTACATAATATTAGATTAGATAGATTAGATAAATACAAAAACGACAATTTCAAATTACTTACATAAGTGATCGAGGAGCCAATGGCAGCCCCGATAGCGAGCATGACGCAGGAGTGATGTAAGATATATTTGCACGGCATTGTAGTGGCTAAACTAGATTGGAGATTAGTCAGCAGCTGTTTCCCGGACTTCTCAAAACCCCCATGCGCGGTATGCATGTCCAACTGAACATACCCAGTGCATGCTCTCCCATCCCTCCCACCCTCCTCGACACATTCCATGGATCCTACCGACAAGCCAGGCTATTGCAGGGCAGAGATGAAGGATGGCTCAAATTGTCAATGTGAGGTTTGCCTCCCTCCTCTTGATTCAAAACCTCCTCTCCAGTGCCAAGAGTGTACACATGGACCCAGCAAACATCCGAAAGTATTGCCGTCTTCAAGCCCACCATCTCTGTTGCAGGAAGCAACCGTGCCATCAGGCTCTGGTGTTGGGGTGAAAAAAGTTCGTGATATTTTATGCGAAGTGTGGGAACGCTACCTGGCCAACCTGCTGAACGTCGTTTGTCACTGCGGAGTGCTCGAAAGGAATCCATGTATCGTCGTGCTCCACAGCCTTTGCCAAGGCAGGCATCCAGCAAGAAGGGTTCAAACAAAGTCAAAGTCAGCCAATGGATCTTGTTGATCAATCGAATCAATGTAAGTCCTTTCTCTACCAAAAGATGTAGTGCTGACAACCCCCTTTTGTACTTAATAGACAGCTGGCCGGTTACGAGACGTCAAAGCTCCAAGTCGGATTGAGATTGACATGCTTGCATCCCATGGATGCTCTTATATCGACAACGAAGCGGGTGAACTCTCATTTTCTAGGGAATGGACCCATGATGAAGTTGACACTTACCTTCGTCGGATCTTTCCAAGCCCATTTGAGTATGTAGATAATTACACCAAGGGCAAGACGACCAAATCTGCATGGGTTTTGATGGCAAAGGAAAACCGTAAAATTGCTTTAGTCCCAAAGGACAAGCCCTCCGGCAAGGATTTATATCATTACAGAGGCCTGGAAAAGAGCAGTACTGGGAACACTCGAGTCATGGTCGGTACATTGTCAAAATCAATTCATTCCCTAAACTAACCACCATTGCACTTCGTTTGTTAGTGCCACGGAATGTGTTTGAAAGTTGGAATACAACCTCTGGTTGCACCTCCAATGCTTTATATTTATTAGATTTTCCAGAGAATGACAACAATGAGGTAGTGTCGCAATTGGACAGAGATATCTCCACGACATGTGCTCAAAGTTCAAGGAACCGGAACCGTGATACATTTTTATTGGTCAGTATAATGGGTTAGCAACTGCTAATGATATCCACACTTAGTTGCTTCTATGCCATGTCTCAAGCGGATCTATAAAGTTGACAGTGACATTGATGAGCCCATCCAAGAAAGAAGTCCCCGTACATTTCAGGTTTCAAAACGGTCGAAAAGTACGTCTCTTATCAATATAATCATGCTAACACACCAGTTTTAATGCGGTGTCAAGCCGTCGCTCCCCAGGATGATACTTCAAGTTCCATCGAGTTCGTCGATGACAAGGTGGATCCAAAAATGAGGGAACCTTGTAAGCAACAGATTGCATTGCGGTTGAAGGCCTGCTGAACCACCATGCTTAATTTAGTGTTCTTGAAAGCCAAGTCGGAATCCCCCCCCAACAGCCCTCAGCTACAAAGTAGTCCTCCGATATCACGACCTGCCAAGTATATCCGTGTGGAGAATGGCGAGACCAGATATCCGTCTTGGTTATTGCAGGATCCGGCTTTTTTAAAGAACCCATGGCAAGCTGACTTTGACCTACTTGAGCTTATTTGGCCCTACATCAGTAACTGAGCCGAGCAACTAATCCTTCCTGTTGATTTCTGACGCTCTTTTTTATCTGCTTACAATCTTTTCTAATACTACATTCCTTAAAGTATATCCGGTTTTTTTGTTCTCATTTACTCTACAATCCAATGGCTTTTAATGTTGAGCTGTTCCCCTCGAGTTAAAACTAGGTTCAAGTAAAGCCTAGATTGAGTGTTTATGCTGCTCTAGTACAATTTACTTAGTAGGATCTAGCTAGAGTAACTTGACTTGGTGTCATTTCGTGTGGGTTTTTCGTCTCTTGTTCGCGCAGCTCCCCTATATCGCGCGAATTTTCGTCTGTTTTTTGCGCAATCCACCATATTTCGCACCGAAAATTTCTCGCTGTCGCACTTTGAATAAAAGTGCAAACGGAGCGTCATACGGTCAATTGGTCAATTGGTCAATCATCGAGTATTACATAGACGTTGATTGATACACCGGAAAGAGAAGAATGAAGGAGCGGAATGAATATTTGAGCCTCCGATCAATTGAATCCACAACTGCACTTTCCTCAACCTGAAACTTTGTGGACGCTCCTCACAGTACACACATCTAGATGCGTATCTTTACCTGTAAGTCTTTTTACTTGGATTTTATCTGTTATCGGAGTCCTTGTTTGGTTTTCAAGCGGGACAATGGCAACCAAACGACGACTGTGGACATTTTTGGTCTCGAAGTTCCAACGTATTTGAAATCTCGAATTGGCAGTCTTATTAAATGTTGCCTTGAATTGAAATGCGCCTGCCAATTTAAACGCGTGTGCTTTAACTTATCTTTGGATGCTTCTTTGATATCAAAAGCTTTCCGGCTGAATCTTTGCCGTTCTTCGCCCGGAATAAGATATAATCTACGGAATCGTCGTGGTTCACCAGTGCAACGAAACAAGTCTGGCTCGTACATGACCCGATCACAAAAGTATCGTCCTGCCCAGAATATTGGTGATAACAGGTGACCACAAGGCACGTACCCCAATGTTCTCAAATTTTGACCATTAGCATTACAGAATTCTCAGGTCGGGAAGTTCAAGTTACGTCCCATCAACACTGGTTTACTGTGCTTGCACGTAAGCTCCACCCCGAGCTTCGTCAGCAACCCCAGAACTTCAACCCCTTGTACTGTATTTCGTGCATGTTCTCGCATGTGCTACTGTATTGTGGTTGCTGGGAGAGACCAGTGTAATTGATGTGCACGTTTACATGGGGAAAATGCGGCAATGTGACGCCATATATAAACTAACGCGTTCGCAGCTCGGTTTTGTACAACGATTCAATTAGATACGTTCCAAGTGAATATGCACGTCTCTTGTCGGTTTCTTGTAGTTAACCGATATACTCCCTAGTTTTCAGGAATGGCCGAAACAAACGCGACATGTGGGGTACAAATCTCAATGGATGGGGGACATCCTCTACCGGAGGTCCCGCAACAACAACCTCAACTACCTGATGAAGACGATGCAGAGCCACCTGGTGCAAAGCGCATCTGGTTCGGGGAAATCTGGAAGGGATGGCGATTTGACGCTCTACCCCAGCATAGCATCAACTGGCACCTCCATCCCGATCGCTCACATTGTAGTTGGGTATGCACGTTCCTTCCAGCGGTTACTCGTCTCAGTTGATTGGGTTGCTAGTACAGGGAATTTTGTGAGCTCAATGATAAGCATAACGCGTGGAAAGCACAGAAGGAAGCAAGAGAAGAGTCACGTCTTCAACAGGCTGCAATCGTTTCTACGCGTGAAGGCAACGATCTGGAGGAGACTAATAGTAACGGGGAAACCAACCATGATGAAGAGGAGCAGGGAAAACGCGTCGAGACAATCGTAGAGAACGATGTGGAAGGTAGAGGGGAGCCTGAACATACAACAGGCTCACAGGCTTCCACGACCCTTCTTGAGTGTGGCCCCTGTGCAATCACTGCGGTACTTTCTGGAATCGCTGTAGCAGGATTAAGCTCCCAAACCAGCCCATCAGTAAAAAAAATCACTCCATGTTAATGAAGGACTACTCAATGCACCGCTAGGATTGCCACGAGCAAAAACTATCGTGGATGGTGAAGAAGATGAACACTTTTCACAATCTTTCTCTCAGCTATCTCTAGCCTCTTCGCACCATAATGGAACGCGGAAAGATGGCGTTGGCTCATCTCAGGACGATAGCGAGTATAAACCCTCACCTACACCCTCTGGCGACACCCCGAATGGCACACAGGTACATCTTGGTGAAACCCATATTCGGGCTTCTTCGCAGTTATTGCCTCGTCCAGTGTGTCCTTCCAAATCAGTGAGAGCTGGTAGTTTAGAACATTTCCTGGAAAACGATTACAACAGCGATATCGATGGCCAGGAATATATTTTTCAGGGTGACGCAAACTCCCTTCGCAAGTATACCCTTCGTAGTGATACCCAAAGCTTATATAAAGGAGCCAAAGATGCAAATGAAGGAGCTATCCCGGATCATGACCTCGACGGATGTCATGATTGGGGATCAGATGTCGAATCCGATGCTGAATCTTACCCTGTGTGCTCTCTGATGGGTAGAAGGTTCCCCGTGGCCTCGTTTACAGAAGAGGATGACTCAGGTGTCGAAATGGTAGTGGATGGTTTGAGTTTCTATCATTGACGCTGCACGCCGATTCTAATGTTAACGTACAGAATCTGGGGACGATAAAGGCAAACAAAAATCTACCAAGCTTCTATCCAAACGTAGTCATGAGAATATTGATGATGAGGAACCTGACGAGGGGAGTACCAATCGAAAGACTAAAAGACGTCTCTTTTGCAAGTCATAAAGGTGAATACATCTACATTCTCCACTCTCACTTGCTTTCTCACGCGTAAATACTTAGTGAATATCCGTGCTGATTCGTAGCTTTGTTGTCATCCATGATTTCTTTGCGCTCTTCTCTGCTTTCGTGTCAGTTCATCAGGACCTTGTATGCTACTTTTGGTGATGACTCGTTGCACTTAGAGGATGTAAATTAGTTTTGTATCGCTTGAGATTCCATGATACCGCTGATGGAGAGAAGGTCCAAGCATAAATGTCTCTTGTGTCTCAAACTAAGTACTGATGTATTCTTTAGGGGTGATTGTGTGATTGAGGCATTTGCAATTGCAATGATGAGGCTGTGTTGGCCCATGTCAGCGAAACTAGTCTGCCATTTCTCTAAATTGACTCAATATGACGACGAACAAAATCACATTGTAGCAGTCCGGCCGTGTTTTGTGGGATGTCGAACCCCTCTCACTGTCTTTGCAAGACACCCACATCTCACCGCCCTGCTGGCGGATATCCACAGGCAGTCCATTTTCTTGAAGCCTGTCAATGAGGTTCAGGCACCTTACTTCTTTCTTGCTTCAGTTGAGAAAGATATCGTTCACGATCCTCGTTCTACTTGTTGCTGTCACTAGGACGCTCTCCTCACATTCATGTCGGCGGGGAGTTCTTCAACAATGGCTGAACCTCAACTATCTGAAGATTCAGATATAGATCTTGGAGCTAGGCCAGTGTGGTTTGGCAGGCAGTACTTCGGCCAGCCTTTCAGTTCTATTCTCCCTCGAGATATGCAATGGCGAGTTCAACAAAGTTCTAATTGGGTGCGCAGACAAAGTTTTTGAAATCCTACCATACATCGTTGCTCATTCAAGTTCTCACATATGCATTAAATCAACTCAAAACAGCACAACGGCTTTCTGCAGCACTACAATGCTTGGCAAGCACAGCTGGCACGACGCGAGGCACGAGGGCAGCGGCATGTTCAAAGAATGACAGTATGGCACGCAGAACAAGAAAGGCGTAGAGCAGAAGAACAACACAGGCGTGAAGAACAGACACGACTTGAACGACAACCTGAGCGACTGGTTGCTTCAAGATCACACACGGGCCCTGGCCCCGATCAGGCTACGTCCTCTCATATCCCGTGCTTACGCCCAAATAATCAGCGAGACGAACCCTGTTTCATCTGGCCTAGGGATGCCAAATGTTATCGTCAATTTTGGGCGGTACAAGCACCATACGTTTAGTTGTATGTACCAACGGAAAGGCTACATGAAACTACTGCTTCTTCCCTCCCGCGATCATTTTCCTTTTGTGCGTTGGTATTTAATCCTCTCAGCTTTCACTAAAAGTCTAATATCTATTTGGTAATAGTACCGAGCGCTTCTCAAACTCAAGAAACAGTACGACGAGGAGCGCCAAAAACGTCCCTACGTACGACGTAATGCAACAGAACACATCGGGGATAGAGGCGAAGATACAGGGTGGTCTGATATGATTAAGGGAGGGGTTAGGGATATTGAGAGTCCATTCGAGGGATCAGGAGTGGACAGTGACTACCATGAATCGGAAGATGCAGAGATTGAAAGTGAAGACGTGGATGAGGGATTGGAGTCCAGACATGTGAATCAATCCACTTCGACGACTATGCATCGTGACGCTGGCTTACTTGGTTCTCAAACGTAGCAATCTCCTCGAAATACTGACCCGGAAAGCGATGATGATAAGTCTGAAGACTGCCCGGGTTCTCGGCAATCACTACCTGCAAGTCCAGTGCACAGCACCTTTTCAGATGATAGTAGCACAAACGTCGGGGATGACGAGATTCTAACGCTTGGTGTCAAAGTTGTAAGCGCAGGAAAGAACTCGCGCCTTAGAATCGACACGGATGATGAAGGCGGGAACGACGGTGATGATGAGGATGACACTGGGACAGATCAGGATGTCGACTCAGAAGCAACTGAAGAAGAAGATGAGACTGATTTTATTGATGAAAATGAAAGCGGGGAAGAAGACGAAGGTACATATGTACCCCCTGCTTCAGTCGCGGCTCAGGTTGCATCACTCAGCCCCCGTCAATCGGAGCTTCGGTGCCCTCCAAGGAAACGGAAGCGAGAGGCGTCAGAGAGCGAGTCTGACTCCTCTGCTAGTGCGGGCAGCCATCTTGCGAAACTTTACCCCTATTCCCAGAATGACGATTCCGATTCAACGCTCGACCGAGTGCCATCTCCTGCCACATCTCCTCCTGAGACACCCAAGAAAGCAAAGAAAACGAGGTTAATGAGTCTCACGTCAGATGAGCAAAGTATTCGTTCAGCCACGCTATCCGAAGAGGAACAATTACATGTTTCACCTTCGCGTTTCCTAAAGCGGGGGGTAGTCTTGTCTGATGAAGGTGTGGTCTATATAGATGGGCAGTGATGTTCACCTCGATGATTTCTTTGACAGATTCTGATTCTGATGTGTATCCTGTTTGGCATCCTCGTGGCAAAGCTCATATTTGGTACGAAGATTCGGAGGATGCAGCCAACACTTCATGAAACGGATGCAGTTATTGCAGTGAGATGTCAGATTCAGATTACCGCTGAATAGATTATCATTTACCACAAATGATGACAGGATACCAGCTTACTATGACATACTATACATGTTTGAAACTGGCGCAATTATGTACTTCAAACTGAAGTTCGAGATACTCTATCCTTGAGACATTTGACTTCGTCGTCATGCAGACATGAGAACCAAGAAATAAGAAAATTGGATATGATAAAAAATATAGATCGTACTCGTACATTGAGTCCCATACACTACAACTCTGACAACAGCCCAACAAATAAACATCGGAAAAGAGGGGTTGTATGACCACTCCCTCATCCGAGCAGCGCTCTGCAACCTTACCCGAAGAAACCAAAGCCTAGGGTTGTCAGCAATCATCCGAGCAGTGCTGAACACGGACTTGTGTACGCATAATAAGCGGGGTTGTAGTGGGCACTTCGTGCATGAACCACTCCCAGATAAGCTTGGTTACGATAGGGGCATCTTCACTATTCGCTTCTGCAGCTTGCAATTTTGACCATACAACGTCTTTGAAAAAATGACTTGTTCGGTAGAGCTTGTCCTTATGTTCAGAGCTGAGTGCTCTATGGCTTGCCTGACTTGGAAGCTTGAATAGTGCCTCTCTTGCCAAGGGTTTTCAACCTTCATCAACTTGCCAAATAATGAATCTTGTGTGGAACTTGACAAAACAAAACAACGTAGTAGAGGATTGAAAAACGAAACGAATGCAACGGAACGATTACAAGCAAGAAAGTTGGGAAGACGAGAATTACTTGACAACTTGAATTTTGTGTTTCTGTGCTATATCGAATTGAGACCAGGTCCTTGTTTTTGACAGGAAACAACGAGAAAATTTTGCAACACTTGGGGCTTGCAGGAGGAATGACCGCCATGAACCTCTTCTTTCAATTGAATAAAAATTTGACCTCTTGCCCTAGCCTTCGCCATCTTGAACCGCAAAGAATGCAGCTAAGCACTCTACCTAACTTGACTTGGGGATCTTCACCAACGGGAAGGAGCATCGACGGACGTGGGACCGTTCCCTGCAGGTCCGTCATAATCCCTACGTGCCGGGCTGCTACCCCTAGGAGGACTTCTTGAATAGCTCCTGCGACGCCTGTAATCAGGTGAATAACGGCCACTTCGAGGAGGGGGACTACGCCTCTCGCGCCAGTCCCTGCTGTCACGACCGTAGGGATCCCTGTCTCTTTCGCGGTCGGAACGGCGGTAGTCACGGTCACGGTCACGGTCGCGGAAAGAATCCCTGAAAGAGTCACGATGATCCCGGCCTCCACCGCCGCCACCCTGGTACGAATCCCGGTTGGAACGCCGATGACCCATATACTCGCCGGGGGTCGGAGCATGAGGCCGATCGGTAACTGAATAATCGACACGAATGCGCCTGCCATTGAGGTCCTGAAAATACCATCAGCCAGTGTCGAACAAGGCGCACCGAAATAATACACACCACACCATTCAGTTCCTGAATGCAACGTGTCGCTTCTTCAACAGTTGACATCTTGATGAACCCAAATCCTCGAGAACGGTCAGACTGCTAAGCGAGTTAGTACCGTTCACCTGCAACAAACAGACAGAGACATACTCGTTGATCATATACAATGGTAACTTTCTCTACCCTTCCAAACCGGCTGAATTCTTCATCCAGGTCACGCTCCTGAGTACGGATACTGAGTCCAAACACTCCTAGCACGTTGCTAGGATTGGGCGCCTGCTTCGCAACATGAGATGTCTGCTTTTGAGGAGCTAATAGATGATCAACGTACAATTGGAGCATGAGAAGGCCTCTTGGGAGGAGGAGACCTACGTCGGAAAGGGCTTCGAAAGCCGCCGTTGCTACGAGCAGGACTACGGGAGCGAGAGCGGCCTCGTGCAGGTGGGAGGTCACGGTCTCTCGCGTCCGACTGCAAAGCTGGAGCAGCGGGCGGGAGAGCATTGTAAGCATCCGAATAGGGGTCTACAGGAGGAGCAGCTGGTTCGCCGTACTGTGCTTAGGGTTAGCCAACATTGCCTACAACAGCAAGCACGGGTTAGAAAACGACGCACCATGGTGGTTGCAGGTTGAGAAGGAAGTTTGCCTCTGTTTGTTGCGGATTCAGAAATGAAAGCCCGCGATCAAAACTCAAAATTATGGTGCTGCATAGTTTAACAAGCCTCCGATTCCGCGACTCAACATACCCAAACAGCACATTCCGGCAAGACCAAGATGGTGAGCTCGTCGTCGTCGCCAGCGACAAAATAGTCTTCTTAACGATGGTCATCTACAGGGTATCGACATCAAGGCACATCACGTCAAGAAATCGAACCGAACGAGCCCAAAAAGCGAGGATCCTTACCTCCTTTTGCTTGTTAAGGTGCGTTCAACCTCTCCAAAAAGCATTATGCCTTTCTCATACGTGCTTTAGCTCTACCGTTTCCTGGCCCGTCGCACGGATTCGAGCTTCAACCAGGTCAATTTGCTTTGGGTGCAGTCCGGGCTTATGTGCTTAATCTAGAGTTTTAGGTCATCCTTCACCGCTTGTTCCTTTCCAAGATCAACCGCCCTCCTATTTCCCTGTCAAGAATCACAAAGGAGACATTGGCTACACCAGACCTCGCATCAAAAATCATCGTACAAGTTGGCACCGTCACCGATGATGTCCGCCTGACCGAAGTTCCTAAACTCACTATCGCTGCTCTGCGATTCACGCGTGGTGCCAAGGAGCGCATCCTCAATGCTGGCGGTGAGGTGTTGACCTTGGACCAGCTCGCCCTTAGGGCACCTACTGGTTCCAACACTGTCTTGTTGAGGGGCAAGAGGAACACTCGTGAGGCCGTCAAGCACTTTGGCATGGGTCCTCACAAGCATAAGAAACCTTACACCGCCTCCAAGGGCCGCAAAGTATGTCCTTGCTTTTCGTTACTCTATAGGCAAGTTTATATGTTAATGTTCCTAGTTCGAGCGTGCTCGTGGTCGCCGAAAGTCTCGTGGCTTCAAGGTATAAGGAAGCAAACAAAATCGACGTGGAGTCGGTACGAGGGCATGTCGAGTCGAGGTTTTGCTATATGCACTATGGGTCATACTTTTACGAATACAATCTTTCCACTTTTAGGCTCTATTGCTATGTATGCCTCATCATATATCTTCGCAAATTCGCATTGACATGCATCTATCATATCTGAGATGGTTATCATTGCAATTGGCTGCGTTGTGCGAAAACATGCATCCGTGTTGGAAACGTAGTCTATCATGATAGATCAAGCCGTGCATAAATATACCGCGCCTCTATTTATGACATATAGTACCATCGCGACATATACATAACTCCACAGCTTCATAATGTTCCCATCTGTTGTCTTCTGCTTATAACAATACTAGGTATCTCATCCTGGTTATACCCAGCCTGACATTTTCTGTCGAGTTTCGACAGCGAATATGGCGGCGCCTCACAGCTCTAAACGTTCCTTTACCGGTCATCATGTTTTATTACCCGCGTCAGAGCAGGACAATCATGTCCTTATACCCTTGGTGCCCACCCGCACTCTTATGTCTTGGACCTTCGGTCGTGGAACAGTGGTAAGTATGGTTATATCAACGGACAGAAATGGCAAGCTGAGTTGGGTTGAAGATATACAGAATTTGGCCTGCCGTCCTGTTGCATACCCTTTTTGCTGCTGGCAAGCCATCTCTCAACCCTCTGCACGAAATTCACTCATGTGACACACGCAGGTGTTGTGTATCTAAGTCTGGAAACAAAGTATAATTTAGCTTTGCCTCCAGTCCTGCTCACTGTGCTTGGTGCGTTAATTCTTGATTACTCGCTGGATTAATTTTGATCGACTTCCTTGTCAGGTCTCGTCATCGGTTTCGTGATATCATATCGCGCCTCGAGTGGGTAAGACACCCATAACTTGGCAGTATTGTATGACTCGAAACATTCTGACCCGACTTGACAAACAGTTACGACCGCTATTGGATGGGACGGAGCTCGTGGTCCGATGTTACATGCACAGCACGATCGTTCTCTCGCTTAATCTGGTTTCACGTCCCTCCCCGACTTACCTCCAAATCCTTAGAAGAATTAGGCACAGAGGCATCTGCCGAGGAGATACTTACTGTCATGACCGAAAAGAGGTTCGCACTTGACTTGGTCGAAGCGTATGTAACGAAATCTCTCGCATTAAATAAGAAATTCTAAAGTTCTGCGTGAAGTTTTGTCGTCGCATTGAAGCATCATCTCCGAGGTGGGTATTGTTAATACTGCTCGATTCACTTTGCACTAAACTCCATTGAACAGGCGAAGTCGGGATCTACTACGAAGACTTATACCCTCTGGTCCATCAACTCCACGGTGTGAGACCAATTTTTTTCATCGAACATACAAAATACTAAACCACATACTAAAGCATCATGCACCTCATCCTAAAGATCCCGCCGTAATTAAATCGCCAACATTACAACCTCCCTCAGATGCTACAGTGTCTAGCAGCTCTACTTCTCGTCTGCTTTCAAAACGTGGTCCCACTAACCCCACTAACGACATTGAGGAGCCCAGTATAGTTCCCATCAATGCATATGGTACCTTTGGCCGCTCCGAAACTAGTTTCAGCACTCGTTCGCGCACCTTAGTTCGCCGACCCTCAATACTTTCTTTTACGTCCTCGCATGGCGACCACCATACGATCTTACCATCTAACTTACATGCCAAGGCCACATTATTTTCAAGCATATCTGCGGAACTTATACCTTTTGAAAGTTTCTTTAGTTCCATCGAGCGGTGGATCAAGAGGATATTTGGTTTGAAAAGCTCAGACCGCCGTACTCACGCAAAACACCGCCCTCGAGTAGCAGGCGGTGGGGAGAATCTCCCGCTAGAAATTCTTCGATGCTTGAGCGACTGGTGCGCCGTTTTGGAAGAGAGACAAACCGCTGGTAATTAATATACCGCGTTACAAATTATGTTGTTGACCATATGGTACAATGCCCTTGACAGGATCCAGCTTGGGAGGAATGCATGGTTGCATCTCTAGTTTTGAAAGTAGTTTATCAGGTATTATCGATTCCATGTGTGGTGGTGCACGATGCTCACTGGTATATTCTCAGCCTTGGAAAAAATTCTGACCACACCATTGCCTTTGTTCGCCCTCATGTTATTTCAGTATTGGCGGTTGCTGACGAACGTACCTGATCAGGGTCTTTTCGGTTCATATTAAACAGTGCGTTTAAATCTAGGAGATTGGGCACCCAAACTGCCATCTGATTGCCTTTCAACTTCAGTACTGTCTGGATCTACTTATTTTTCCTTCCTTTCCAGCTTGTGGACCAATTTAGATGGCACACTATAGCTGGTGTGCTCGTTGCAGCGTTCATATATCTCGGTCTCGTAGCTGCAGGTGAAGAGATAGAACAACCGTTCGGCAAGTCTACATTTTCTTCCGCAATTTCCATACTCTTGCTAATACACGAGAGTGTAGGTTATGATGACGTATGTAGTACAAACTTCCACACTACTGCGGCATTTACTCACCACTTACTTTAGAACGATCTCGACCTCGATCTGTTCTGCCGTGAAATTATTCACGCGGATATCGAGCTTCTCAAAGCGACCTCCTGCAACAACTCCCATGTCGACTCTCAGTTCACACGCACAAACGGCATGATTTCCATCGTCGCTGCCAGAGAGAGGGTGCATGTTGACTGAAGTATGTATGTACCGGCCAGAATTATAGGCTATACAGCGCAGGCTACAATAACGCTTGCTTTGAATGCGCGATCAGCCACATTTTACCTGAATGGAAAGCCAACTCAACCACTTAGCAGTTAGATTTTCTCAGAATGTCAACACCTCAAGCTATAACCTCCATTGCAACTCTCAACACTTAGCAAGCCTGCTCTAACACATCGCTCGAACATCATGATGAGTAGCATAGCAATTACGTATCTGCGGTATAAATGTGATCTATGTTACGTATCGTGAAACTATTCCGGAGGGAAACCGCATCAATTTAACCTTTTTTCAACTTCAGCTACCGCAGAGTCCATGGGAGGGACAACATAGGGACCAGGTGTTTGTGGTCGACTGTTCTTGCCATTTCCAGCGTTCTTTCCTTCAACCTTCTGCATGTTCTTGCAGATCTTCGATCCACCAGAATAGAAGAAGACAAGCGTAAGTCCGACCATCCAGAAACCATACCAGCCGAGTTGCCGCCAGGCTTCCATCGAGTCTCTGAAGGTAAGCAACATGAACGGAGCTGCTACGTAGTTCAAAACCATGATCGATGCGACCGTGCCAAGGATGTCATATATACGCTTAATAGTAGTCGTTGGCGAGCCTGCAGGAGGCAATACGAGGGGACGGAAGTTCGCACGGCAAAGACGCCCTGCAGTCGTTATGAATCCACCGAAGATGAACGTAAGATAATAACCACTAGCAATACCATGCTGTATGCAATGTGTAAGACTTCGAACACGCCGTCGCATATCAGAGGGTTGATATATGAGTAACTCACCCAGAAAGCACTGGTGGCAAAAGTAAGCATGCTGCTCCGGAAACCGGGCTTCTTGCCTTTAGGTGTGACACGTTTGTAGATACACTCTCTAAGCCAAACGTTCGTTTTCATGTTCCACGAGTCCAGAAGGACCTTGAAGTTGGGCGCTAACTCGATCAACGGGATGTTAACGTTGGCTGCCCCTTCCCAAAGCGATTCTCCGGTCCGGCTATATCCCGTGAAGCCCAACCCAGTTAAGATGCTGGCTCCCTATGAATACGACGGTTCGCGATAGGTATCATATACAATGATGAAGATCTTACCTCTGTCAGTGTCCAAACTGCATAATACTTTGAACGCTCGACCAGTCCACATAGCTGGAAGTAAGCAATTCTATGGGCGAATGTTAGTCGGCCAAAATGACGTTGGAATGCCAAAGCGTACCGATAGAAGATTCCTTTGGTGACGAACCAAGGCGTGATGGCCACACTGTAATTGAAAGAGGGGCCAAAGACGACGAAAAGACCTAAAAACGCGAGGCCAGTCACCATCTTACGGTACGCCACGCGCTTCCTTCCATTGGGCACAGCACGCTTCTGAGTTATTACACCGACTCTGCTGCTCTCTGCAGATGTGAACAGAGTCTCGTCGATCAAAGATATATACGATGCGTAATCTAGATAGGGTCCAACGAGAATACCCGGGAAGTAGAAACTATGCAAAGGTTGTAATGAGTTAGATTTAGGTGAGCAATAAAGTACATACGCATAACCAAGGAACTCGAGAAGAGTAGGGTATCTGACTACTCGTTTCTCCAACTGCCACTTGTCTAAGTCCTAGAGATATATTCAGGCCCATGTGGCGTCGATTGGAGTAGTTTATGCATACCTCTGCTTTTCGCCTGCCATCCCAAACGTTCCAAGCAAATGTCGTGAGTTTCATAGTCAGAACCATCTGAGGTCCAGTTATTTCGACTGTCTCGTAACTGAAGTTGTAGATGGCGCGTATAATGTGGCTTTATATTATGTATACTATAGGTTAGTCTGCGAAAATAGTCCTGATCCCCAATGCTTACTTTATGGTCAAATGTCCCATGACGAAGCTATCTGAAGTGATAAACAATTGCACGAAACGTTGAAAGCAAGGAAGCTCACGCAAATACGAGCCATGGCATGCGAGGACCACGGACACTGGCTGCAATTATATAAGTTCCTAGAACACTCCCAAGTAACTGCGCAAAGCCCCAGTAAAGATTGAGAACAGGGAAGAAGTAGAAAAGCGTGATGCATATATTAAAGAGATGCTTTAAATTGGGCCGAGAAGATGGAATGCGTATGAATACACTTCCAAGAGGATATGCAACTAGGAGACATGAAATGAGCTAACATAGAGCAACCGTGAGGCTTTGTTCTATTCTGTCATTTGCTTGAGATGACCTACCTTTATCTGGTCGACAGAGGCACCGACCGCGTTAGCCAAAAGAACGAAAAGTGCGTCCATGGTTGCGAGACGAACACAAGCAACGTGAACGTTGCCTTTGAGAACAAGTTGACCAAATTTTTATACAATGGCTTACTACATAACGTACAGGTCACGGTCAAGGGCTACCCCAACAAATGAGTACTCCCACGATACCCCATTAGGAGTGGTCCGATAACTATACCATGAACAAAGTTCCATGCAGTCACTTCCGATAATACCAGCTTTTCCGGTAGTTGAGCGCTGCGCATCGAGTACGGTAGAAACGTAGGATTAGACGAGCAACAAACAACCGCTTGAATATTGCCGCGATACTGACATGTGTCGGCCAGTTTCGAATTGATCACGGTATTAGCAGCCACCGAGATTTGACCACATGAACTGAACTAGGATATACACTGCCATTCGTGCCGACGGTAATACTGCTTACAGTCAATAGCACAGCAGGACGGTATGTACGCAGTATTTTGCACTGCAGTGCAAAGAAGAGATGGGTCAAAGGAGCAGAGGGGTCCGAGGAGGCTATTCGCCGGGGTAGATCAGCGAGAATTACCACGGTAGTACCAGTGCTACAATACTTATACAAGTGTGGCAACCATGACCATGTTCACCACCACGCCTCGGCATCTTCCTACGTATACGTGACAGTTGCACTCTGATCGTTAACGGCTTGTACCACCTGGGAATCACTTCCAATCCCCCTACCGCCCTTTTATTTTTCTTTATCCATCTGGCCTTGCAACAGCGGCACAATCTCTAAGCTGACCTTTTCTTAATCTTGCTCACGCACCACCCCCACAATGCCAAAGGTCCCCACAGCTCCATCAAGTCGTCCAGCTCTCCGTAGAAATCAAGTATGCGGTTTTACATAGGTCTTAGATCTCTCTTAACTTTTTCTTGTTCAGGCCTGTCGTGCGTGTCGAAAGAGGAAGCTGGTAAGTCGTAGCGGGTTCGTATCTCGGTTGTACACAAACTGAGGCTTTATCTATGTCCTAGAAATGCGATGCTGCTCGTCCACATTGCGGAACCTGTGTAAAGTAAGGTGATTGATTATTGTCGAGATTCTGAATCCAATAAAGAAACAAGGCAGTGGCAGTCTTTAACAAGTGTACCAGCCCCTGTCGGATACGCGTAGGCCACTTCTCTAGCCTGCATCACAGCGACCGTGCCAAACTTAATTAAACCTAGGCACCCCGCAGAACCACAATGCATCTACGATCCAGTAGAAGGCTTAACATTAACACCTGACACGGATCCCATGGAGAAAATTAGACTACTGGAGGAAGAAGTTTGTATGTGGCATTCTCACCCGCATATATGCAACATACACTGGATCTGAGTTTGTTTTTCATTAGTTCAACTCAAATCAAAATTGCAAGAACGGACAATTGCATCACGTTCTACTTCTCCTCAGCATCTATCCACGCAACATCGTACATATAATCAAAGCCTACATAGCAGCAACTACTCTTTATCTCCTGCTGGCAGTCAATTGTCAGATCCCGTTCACAGTTCAGCTTCACCAGACATCTACGTAGGCCGTGTTTCGTCTGCAGAGTGTCCAGAAGTAGGATACCGGAATGAGAAAAACAGCCCAGAAGTTCTCGGTATCGGCAGTAAAAGCAATGCAGACTCGTTCATGGACTTGTTATTTTCAGGTTGGAATCCAGATCTGCCAGAACCTCATGTTCTTGACCACTAGTTTGTGTTTTAAACTCTATTCGCTTCTCTTTCCTATTGACGAGTTCTAAAGTATAGATGTGTTCTTCAAGAGTGATCCGTGTGGGTCGCGGATATTACATCGTTCATCCTTTTTGTCAGCAATGCGCTTACCCCCAAGGGACCCAGCGTTCCCTCATTCCGCCATACTACATGCCATAGTAATTATTCATTAATTTCATTTCTATATGCGCATAAAACATATTTATCTTATCTAGTGTGCCTCAGCGTCGCGTTGGTCTTCTCGGAATGTGACCCTGATGCCCGACGGTTCGCGGCAAGACCAATTCGCAGAGTTCCATGCCAGTAAAACGCGACAGTACATCGACAAGACAATGGCCACTGGAGAAGATATATTTCCAGTAGTGCAGGCTTGTGTGCTTCTTGCATGGTATTTTTATCAAGAGGGTCGATGGGTTGAGGTATGGATTTTTGCTGGTTTTCAAACACGCGTTGCTGTTCCTCTGCGCCTCAACTATCCGGGGACATTTTCCACGCAAGGATACAGCTTTTCAGGAGGGTATCTACCTCCTCCAAAAGATTTCAGAGATTTGGAATCAAGGAGGCGGACATGGTGGATGACCATCATATTTGATCGTATAGTCTCTTTTGGCGGCTGGTTACATGCCATTGACGAGAGAGACTTAGGGACTGAACTTCCCGTACGTGGTCAAGACTTCGAGGCAGAGGTGAGTATAGATATATAACGGTTCGTAGTCATTCTTCGAGCTCATGATCTGTACAGCAACCAATTCCAAGTAACCCCCAGGACATGTCCAGGGAGGATATTTTCACCTCACATTTCCCAAGGTACACAGACCCTTTCCTACTTCTCATCAAAGCCATCATGCTCTTTGGGCGCGTTACGGATTTCAATGTACGCAGTAATATGGGAGCTCCAACGGCTCCTAGCAAGAATCAGAATCCTTATATGCTGCAAGGTTTCGGCGAACTTGACGACCTTGTATACAGTAACTTTCTAGGCAATCTACCACAGATGTACAGGAATAACTACGGTGTTACTGATGCACCAAGTGGGAGTGCTCTCGACACCGACCTGTACATGGTTCACATCATACCACATGCGTAGGTCGTCCTTGATGGCGTTCAACTCATCTATCGAGTAATCTCATTTATTCCTCTTTCAGTGCCTCCATCACTCTTCACAGTCCCTACCTAGACTTTAATGACATGCAACGCACATCAACCGATCGCTGTGTCAGTGCGACACAGTCCATCCTCACGGCCTACTATATGCTTTCCGCGACCTCTTTGGACATCACGCGTTTACATCCTACTATTGTGGTGTGTGTGCTTGTTGCATCAGTCTTGCTGCCACTCTGAACATGTTCTAGGTTTGTTGGTACCTTGCTGCAGTGATACAAGTACAGTTCTGTAAACATCTTATAGAGATTAACGATAGAGACAGAGAAGCAGAAGTATGGGGCGAAATCAATGTGCTAAGGTAGAGTGTTTAACCGGTTTAGGAAGGTTATCATCTCATAGGTTTTACAGACAGGCAATGCTCAACTATGGGTCACGCTCGCCCATTGGAAGTGGGTCATGATTTTTTTTCTTTTCATCAGCTCTTCATTAGCTTACTATGTTAACAGCTCGCCAAGAAAAACTTCTACAGGGTCTCATGAAAGAGATCGTCCGATTGACTAGCCAGCGGCAGCCGCTCGAAGTAGGCTTGCCACTGTTCCCCTTTTCGCATGCCTCCGTTTTCTCTGAGCCTTTGGCAGTGCAGTCAGAGACTCCAATAGCACCGTTACCAGGTACCGGCAGCTCAGATAGAATGACCAAACAACCTCATGTTGGAGATATCCCTTCGGGGCTCACTATTGCGCCCTCACATTCTGTGGCATGGTCACTCGATGATATCAATGACCAGCGTTCAGGAATCAATTTTGAGATTTCACCTCCCTCTCAATGGCGTTACTCATAGTGAGCCTCTTGACATGATCATTTACATTTATATTTGTTGTTTTTTATGACTTTGTTTTTTTCCCCCTTGAGGGTGGTTGCCTAGTCAAATGGCTCGTTACGATACGCTGAATGACTGTTACATATTGCTGTTAGGTGGCGGGTTAGAACAATCCTCAAGCTTCCCCTTGCTCTATCTATACCAACATCAAACACCTGTTTGATTGTAATAATACTGGTTTTGGAACCGTAGGATGATATGTGTCACAGCTCTCAACACCCTAATGAAGATTATTGTACATCCATTTCTCGCAGTGGTCATACATCAACGGCTCCTCGCCTCATCTAACAACGCTCTCAATCGTGTACCATACAGAGTAGAGATTGGCGAAGTGCCCGAACCTGACTCCGCAAACTGCGTCCGATCACTAGTATTTTTGTTATCTTTGACTTTGGGTTTTTCAAACGACTTCTCTGGAGACGGGCCGATATCGTAGTGTCCTGTAGATGAAAAGTAATGGGACTGTGCCGACGAAGCTCTGGATGATACTGGGCGGGCAAAAATCAGACTCGAACTACCACCTGAAGAAGAACTCTCCAGCTCGCTGAGCTGCACATCAGTCACGAAAGGAATCTGCGAAACAAGTGTGTCCGTGGAATATAAACTAGGCGCGTCGGCTGTAGAGGGGTATCGGGGGTCGGGTGGGTCTGCAAATGGGTCAATTATTGGTTCGTGCCCCGATATCTGAGTCATTGGCTCTGAGTAATCGCTGCTACTCTCCGTCGACGCAAGGGAGCTCTGAACCTGCGGGATTGTGGCTGGTGGCGCCTGTAAGAATGAGAGCGACCGCGGTCGGAAATGACCACCACGCCGGCGAATGCGGATTCGACAGAGGACTACACAGAAAATGAGCACGCCTACCGCACTCAGCACCGTGCCCAAGATGATGGGGAGATGGTTTGAGCTGCAGTGTACGATAATCTGAATATGAAAAGTATGGTTCATTGTAGGTGGAGTGGGCTCACCTGGTGGCTGAAGTCTCGGTCCCTATCCCTGGCTGGTTGCTGGCGCTAGACGATGGCGTTGGGTGTCCGGCGCCAATACTTTCCACCGTCATGGTTGTTTCGTATGTGTGCCCAGAAACGGTTGTTTTGGTAGTCATAGTCATAAGGGTAGAAGATACAGCTACGATTCGCTGAGGGGATGAAGGAGGTTGGGAACCATGACCCGTTTGGCTTAGAGAGCTGATGAAGGGACAGGTTCAGGAAAAGGAGCAAGAAAAAATGAGGCGAATGCTTTACCCTGTGGTAGCTGTTCCAGATGGTCCGGGACTCGAAGACTGCGTGGGACTACTCTCACCAACACTCGCATTCGCACTGATGGTCTCTGAATTAGTAGCCGGTGTGTTTGTAAACGGAGGTGGCGAAGGTTCCGCGCATGGATTGGGAGGTGCGCCGTGGTGTGCGAAGGGGCTGGTTTCACTACTGCTTGTAGACACTCCAGTTGTTGCCGGTGTACCCGGAGAAGATGATGTCCAACTTTCGGCATATGTAGCTGTCCCCTGGGTAACTGTTGGTGATTCTGCGACAGATGTTGAAGGGTGATCCGTGCGTAAAAGGGGATCGCTTGTGCTGGTCGCATTCTCACTGGTCGTGGCGGAAGATACGATGGGGGAAGGTAAAGAAGGATGCTTCGTCTGCAAAGGAGAGTCGATTGATCCAAGTCCGTATGAAGTAGAAACTGATTGGGATACGCTACTCTGAGAGGAGAAAGAAGAAGGGGTAGGTGAAGAAAAAGGAGAAGACTGAGGGTGGTCAGTTACCAGACGACCATCAGTCATCGCCGTCGTTATCGGTTGAGTACTATTGGAGGAGCTAGCTGTGGAAGGCGACAAGGTTGCACTGGTGTTGTTCGTCGGCTGCTCCAGTGTTGCTGTCACTGTGGACAGCGACGAGGACGGCGACGATACATTCGCCTGCATGTGAAGGTAGGTCGTAGGTGCTGATGTAATCGAGGGCGATGAAATATCACCAGTGACTCTTCTGCAAAAGGAGTGGTAACGATGGGATGGCTGGGAAGACTCGAGACGCCAAGAGCAGAGGACAAGTGCTCAAACGTCATAGGAGCGACAGACCCATCCAAGACACGTAGTGAGTTATCCACAACTATATAGGCTGTTGTTTATTTAAGGCAGTAGTGCCTCCCACACTGTACCCGTGGATCAAGCGAGGGAATCAAAGGAAGCGGCTGTGGCCAGAAAGCAGACTCATAAACAACTGAGAACGCGCGTGAATATCGTTGTCGATCGCCTTCTGTACCATGCGTAACCTGGAAGCCAAGGTATCAGTACTTGCAATCATTCATACGGTTCTCGGGCAGCGCAAGCAATTGAACAGATAATAGGGCACGGGTCAATGAGGGTCTCGTGCACATTCGGAGTACGCAGGAAGAGAGCGCAAAACTTACAATTGGGTGAACGCTTTACCCACGACAACGAAAGAAGAAGAATGACACTCGGCGTCATGTCGGGACCATCCGCACCGGCCACTTATCATGATAATACCTTGCCCGCGTAGGAGTTTGAGTGGGAAAACATACCGTGCCCTTAAATGTGCGCTGGTGTGGGGAAAGTTATTTTTGACTTGCCTTTGCCAAGAACCATCATATGCGCCATACGGTTCGGTCTTTACATGCCCACAACCGGAACAAGGCTTGCCGATCGTCCACAAATTAAAACGCAATAATCAAAAGCTTCATGTCTGTCGTCTCTTCAGTCCTCGGAAGAAGACTGGTGGTGCGATGAGATCAAGTCACAGGCTCGTCTGCTGGCTAGTCCATGCAGTGCAGGCGCGAGAAAACTTCACAGAAGCCAAACCTCGAGAATCAGAAACTTAAAGACAGGTCAGGTCAAGTGCGATAAATAAATTTCGAGTATACTGAGCAAACGTAAATCAACGGACAAAAACCCTGGAAAAACCCTGCAGTGAGAAGAAAGGTTGCGAATAAAGTTTTGGCGACAAACATGTAGCGAATTGGAAAAATACCCGTTGGGCTCGACAAAAAGCTCCTGTGAACATTTCAGAACATGTACGAGCAACCCAGAAAACCCTCCCATTGAACTATCTGCTAGGATGAGTCTTCCTGAATAATGAAATTGCGTCTTGCGCCACTCGCTGACGTGCCCCAAAAGGATTTAAGATCCAAGAACCCCAAAACAGGAGAGGCCGACGAGTGTTTGTCACCTCCGAAGGACGAGATGCCATCGGACGAGTTATAGAAGTCAAGGTGAGGCCGACTGACTGCGAGATGTGCCAAAAGATGGCAAACCATGAGGAAGAGGAGAAGAGAAACGATGATAGCCGTCCGAGCTTTGAATGGAAACTGAGGCTGAAATTGTGCAAGATATGGAGAAATGCGTTCTCGAAAAGTAGGCTTTGGCGGGGGGGTGAGAAACGCAATGTAGTACTCGGATTCTGTAGTTGGCGAAGATGGTGTTACGATGATCGCTGGTAGAGCCGACTTTTCCGTAGCCAGCGGAAGAGAGAGGTCTGGTATAAGCGAGTAATGTGAGAGAGCAGAAAGAAGGTTGAATGGCTGTGCACTTACCCAGGGGTGCTGGGATGAGAGTGTAATCGAGGCGTTGAGGCAGACGGTGAATACGGGGTACTAGATCGGAGTAAACATGTGAGATAAGTTTGGCAGAATGAAATAGAGAAAGCTCACCACGACGAGCCATTGTTGACGATAGGTGCAGAGGTGCAGACGAATGCGATAGGTGAGTAATTTGGGCGACGATTAGCTTCTCAGGACTGTGAACCTCGGAAAAGAAGGCGAATGGGACGGGTGTGAAGTGATTCAGACCGGTCGGGTGAAACGAATGTAGACCAAAGGAGTGTGGGTTTTCCGGAAACGAATATACGAGAAAAACGTCGGGCAATGAAGCACGAACGACGAAGACGATGGAAAGGAATAAAGAGTGCAAACTTACTCTAACGATTGCTTAACGACTGCTTAATGAGAAAGATGAAAGGCCATCACAACCGCTTTATTGGCTGATGTAAGCTGCCCGCCAAACGGAGCGGGACCAGACCACGGACTAGGCAAGGGACCATGGTGGGTACCATGGACCTGGCATGGACCAGCGTTAGATATCTCTGACATTGTGAACTCTCCAGAAAACATATCACTGATCACTGGCCATGTCTTTGCTGGAGTCACCTTCCCTTCAGCCAATATATGCCTCTGCAAAGACCAGTTCTCTCTCAGCACAAAGCTATGTATTGTCCCTGACATCGGTAGGAAATCAATACGCAGCCTCCGCATCAGCGCCATCAAATACCATCCACCTGTTTGACAAGTCCAGCCTGCAAGAAATCCACACACTCCCAGGCCATAGCACAGCTACTACTTACCTCAGAACGGCAAAAGCACTAGCCGGTTCGTATCATGAAACCCTGCTCTCGTCAGGCAAAGACGGTTGTGTCAAAGCATGGGACCATCGCTCTGGTTCAGCTAGCATCAAAAGTAAGTGGTAACACTTATCCACCTACACTACGTGCGTTTTGACAACTTAAAAAAAGAACGTTTCGTTTCGTTTTAGTGTCCACATCAGGGAGATCGCGCGCCCTTCTCTCGTGCGATGTTTCGTCCGATGGCCTTACTGTCGCTGCAGGAACAGACTTGCAAGCAGAAGACGCGCTCATACTGTACTGGTGAGAATCATTTCATGCATTCACTTGAAATTTCACTGGACTCTCGATCATACAGGGATCCGCGTAATCCGGTAGCACCGCTTCGTACTCACGGTTCGACCCATTCCGACGATATCACAGCAGTTCACTTCGCGAAACATGACATCTCCCCTTTTCGCAACGTTTTGTTATCCGCCTCATCAGATGGCCTCATAAGCACATCAGATGCAGACGAGGAGGACGAGGACGAGGCTGTGTTAAGCATCGGTAACTGGGGCTGCAGCATATCTCAAGCAGGGTGGATCCAGTCTCCTTCAGATATCCGGGCTTGGGCTGCTAGTGACATGGAAACATTTAGTTGCTGGTCAAATGAGGTATTGCTCAATTTTTAAATCCTCCGTGACCTTACTAACACTTTAAAAAGCTCGATCTGCTTCAGGATCAGGATATTCGTGGCCCATCGATACACAATATAGAACGTACATGGGTAACTGATTATCTCATCACCTGCCTGAGCAGTCACCGTTCAAATGGGCAGCTTGGTGTCTTCGTCGGATCGAACGAGTACGAAGGTTTCGTCCTCTGTTAAGTCGCCATATTGATACTATTCCTCAACAGGGGTGATGTTGCTCTGATTTCGAGTAATGATTTGTCGAACTCTTCGTCACCATGGTCTCTCCACGGGTTATGGACGGGTGGTCACGTCGGCGTAGTCAGATCGCTCTTATGGGACGAGCAAGTGAGCCAAAGCCTCAATAATCTCGCCCGATCTTGCTGAATTGACTTTGGGGCGTTTACAGAACAGTGTCATCGTGACAGGAGGAGAAGATTCAAAAATAAATCTATGGTCGTGTCCATTTCTGGAAGACTTTGGTCTGGCAAGCGAAATCAAACAAGAAGGCGACGTCGATATGGAGGTAGAGATGGGCCTCGGCGCCCGTAGTCCCTCATCCCGTAAACGGGAATGGGACGTCCGAATGAACGTGGACGACGAGCAGGTATGTTCTTTCCCTTTTGTGTGGCTGGTGTCGTTCATCTATCAACTTAATATTGGAAGTTGGGCAAACGAGTGCGACGGTAGTGGATACTTGGGGACAAAAAAATGCCAGCTACTTAAAAGTTCAATGCGTGATCACATGGCTGCTTGAGACAATTCTTCGAATATGATTTTTGCTTCCCCCTATCCCATGCGTGGGTTGTGTGTTGTCGATATTGAAGCCTGACCATCGATCATACCTAATACTTGCATTCCTCGCTGGTTCTGAACTCATGAACCAACTCAAAGTCGACCAAGAACTCTTCATCACAGGTAGCTTCCCCTTTGTCAAGTTACAGGCTAAGTACTATATTCTCCTTGATAGAGATATCCATATTCTATGAACACGAGGCAGACAGGTGGACGATCACAAACTATTCGTCCTGTCAACTATATCATCTTTCGATATATTAAAACCTCACAGACTAGTCCGTGCTGGGGAAAGAGGGGAGCATAAGTATGTTTCCCAGTCTCCAATGGTATGTGGTGTCTCAAGCTACTAATTATTTTAAGGACTTCAACTGAGAATCTGAGTCATGGGAGGAGGGCTGCACGTGACCGTGACTTCCACACCTTTTGTTGGCAGTCTCTGCAAAATGCAACGTTGTTCATTCGTCTGTTTGATATTGTTTTATGCAATTGTTTGTTTCGAAACGCCTGACTCGCTCGAAAGATGCAAATAATACCGAGATGCTACAGAGGCTATGAAAGGAGATGACCCTACCCCAAATCCGAGTCAGCCACTAGGAGCTGGTGCTGAGGTACTGGCCGATTACGAGCTTTGGTGGTGTAACCATTTCCAATGGCTGAAGGATATTGGATATCTGCTTCGTCCTCGGTATGCCCCTGGATGGGTGCCATCTTGGCGAAGTTCCAAGAAAATATGGTATCGTTGTGAAGATGCTCAGATTCCTTGGGTAAGTGCCTCTGTTTACCAACGTTCATTTTTATCTGAATCAATCGCGTAGTACGGACACATTTTGGACGCAACTAGGATAGATGATGGCGCTTTCGTGGCCTTGAAAGTAGTAAGCAAGTCGCGTCATCCTTTCGAGGTTGAGATAGCAAGCTATTTCTCCTCCGAATCCATTGCAAATGACCCAGCCAATCACTGCATCCCCATATATGAAGTGACCCAAGTACCAGACGATCAGGACAAGGTCATTATGATCATGCCCCTACTAGGAATGCATGGCGATCCGTCATTTGATACTTTTGGCGAAGCTGTGGAATGCTTCAGACAGCTATTTGAGGTATCGACGTCCAATGATTTGCTATCCACTTAATCTTACTTTGAATTAGGGTCTGCGATTTATGCATAATCATCATGTAGCTCATAGGTCAGTGGAGTTCTTTGTTATTAAAAACGAGAGCCTTTCTATAAATTTTAGACAGGGACTGTATGACCCTGAATATCATGATGGATCCGAAACGTCTTTACATCGATGCATTCCATCCTTTTCAGCCCACGATGAGGCGTGATTTCAAGGGCTTAGCGAGACATTTTAGTCGCACTCAACGTCCACCCAAGTATTTCTTTATTGATTTTGGTATATCTTGTCGCTATGACCCTGCCGATGAAGAGCCCACGGAAGACCCCATATGAGGAGGCGATAAAACAGTGCCAGAATTTCGCAAATCAAATGAACCTCAAAATCCATTCTATACCGACGTATATTACCTTGGAAATGTTATCCGAGAAGATTTTATAGAGGTGAAAGAGGCTATAGAAACGACTGAGGTATTTCTATACTAAGCCCCCTACTACTTATAGTTGGAGGTGCTACTCGCTACAGTATAATGACTCCATGGAGTGGTGGCTATGCTCCATAGAGAACAATGGCTGCTTCAGCAGAGACCGGGTTTATCCGGTTTTGTCATATCTTTGCTTATCTTTGATCAATGATTCAATGGTTTTTGTTTCTTACAGCATAATGGAATCTAATCGCTGAGATATGGATTATCATTATAAGATAAACATTATCAGTCTACGATTACAGTAGATATGGTATCAGGATCTCTCTCATCCAAATAAGGAAACCGGCACAACTTTCCACCAATGCCATGAGTTGGCGCTAGAATTTCAGAAGCGCCAACTCATGCGATTGGTGCATATTTTAGTCAAAACTGTATTTCGCAACCTCATGACATTTTCATAAGCTGTTATCTTACCACAATTATCAGAAGGACAATAACGGTTGATTAGATATCATCAAAACAAATCACGGATATTCAGCATTTGTATGTAACAAACAAAAATGCAACAACAGCATATCAGAGCTATCTAAATGCAATGACAAACGAGAAAACTATGAATCAAATCTCATCATGGACCGGTATACTTCTTTGTCCGAGGAATTATTAACATAGAAGTAAAGAGGTACCTCCAGCGAGTTCATTGCATTTATGGTGCGATCCATTCTCTCTCCATAAACAGGAATGAGCTCAATGGCCTGAGTAATCAACGTCAATGGAATGAAACCCCCTAGTCGCTGAGTGTCTCCATTCAGTGACGGCTCAGAGTGGAAAGCCCTCTTGACAACAAACATGTCCACATCAGGCTGCTGAGCAGGGCTTGAAACAACCTTGAACAATTGAATATATGCGATTGGTTGATTTAACGCAGGATGAAGCACACTGCCTTTACGGGCGATGGGCACGATAACAGTCCGTACTTGTGCGACCTCAGGCATTTCTGTGGCTGGAACGAAGAGTCAGGATTAATAGTAAAAAATAGGGCACGCAACTAGAACAAACTTTTGAGCTGTATCAAAACGGTGTCGCAGTTTCCGAAAGGTGCATCATTACTTGGAGAAAACGCCTGAACCATCTGACTCGGCATGATGACCTGGGTTTTAAATACTGAATGCTGTTGTAGTCGAAATTTGAACCACAGTTGTACTTTATCGAATCCTAAATCAATTCCTCCCTGCCCATTAAAAGACCCCTGGCTACAACATTGTTTGATGGAAAGTCCTTTTACAAAGTTGTACAACGCAGCGCTGAGGTCTGGCAGATTTAATGAGATAGCAGCATCATGCATAGATGTAGAATGTATGTCGGGGACTACAGTGAGATGGAAAGCGATGTTTGAGTCGTCAGATGTGAGGCCCTTCAAGAAATGGTTTTGAACAGGGCGGGGGCTTTGATATTGTATTTCTTCGGCCGCAGTTGCGAACTGCAATACCCATGCCAGTTCAGGATCCAAGTCAGCAATCTCGTCTTGCTCTGTCCTGATAGCAACGTTCACAAGGTCCTGATGAAATAGTCGTAAGAGGGTGTACAGTTCGAACTGCCGGACCTTCTCTGCGATGTCAAGCAAACGAACAATCTGGAATATGAAATCACTCTGATGGCTGGTCCTCTGGAAGGTATGCTTGCAGTTTGTTATCAGTAGCCGTTCACTCACATCCGCTGTATACTGCAAGATGTTCCCTGAATTCTTGACCGCCCGTGCAAAGCTCTGCAAGAGCTCAAGCTTCGGAATCCAAAAGTGGTCCATAGCACCTTTTTTGCCTTGGCGTGCCTCGGCGTCCAGAATCGCCTGCTTGTGACGGTGAAATTCGGCGAGTGCGGCCTCCATTTGCGTGATTGATGTAGGGGTATAGATGGGATTCTGTGCAATGTATATGAAATCCACAATAGCACGGATAGCTCGGACAGCTTTTGGTGGGGCTGCACCTGCAATTGACGGCACAATTGTGCGCTGAATGTCGCGATGATCCCTGCCAGTCAATTGCTTGACGTGTGATATGCCTTTGGAGAAATGACGAAATCCAACACATTTGTGGTGACTTTTATATCAATCATCCAGTTCTTCGTTTCCGAGCATTGTCTTGCACCATAGAAGAACGTGGTCAAAAAAGAATTTATGGCAAGTGTGGAGTATTTCTGGGGTGAGAAAGATGGCAGGCTCAGCGAGGTGCCAGTTGTGCCAAAATGGTTGCTGGACCCCGCTGAGGCCAATGGCTTTGGCTTTGGCCTGGAACTCGGTGATCTGCTATCCATCGACAGTCTTTGAAAGACCATAAATTTGGCGTAACATGTGGTTTCCGGTACGTGGGGAATAAGGTTGACTGTCACCAAAGTTGGCTAATGTGGCTAGTGACACTGGATATGAATCCTTGGCTACACAGGCTATAAGCTGTTGCTCCGGAAGATCAGCTTGATATGCCACCAAGGGCATGAATACATAGCGAACGAGGCCAAATGGATCCGGGGTGAAAGTGCCTACTTTTGCTGCAATCTTGAGGTTCACACAGACTTTGTCCATACACTTATGCCACACCCGGGCTTGCAGTATGCCTTGGAAGTCATTGTGGACATCAAACTTTGGGGTCGGGATGAAAGCTACACATCTCCAAGCTTGTGCGGTGGCTTTCATGCGTACATCAGATGCAATATTAGCAATCATCAGGAAAGTGGGATGCATTTCAAGATTTCCTGTGCCTCTTGTGATGTTAGTCTTGTCCGAAGCCATAATTATTGGCATCATTGTTGCGCCTTCAGGGAATTGATTCTAAAAACCAAAATATTAGGTGCAAGTGGAGTATACACCAAAAAAAAACATTCCTGCAGTTCAAATGCATGATTGGCGGTCATGAATTTGCTAAATTCTCTTTGAACGCCTTGGTATGTTTTTCTAGGATCAAACATCATATGCTGTGCAAAAACCGGGTTCGCAAAGATATGCTGCGCGACTTCAAGAGCGTCTCTGTAGATCAAGTGTATTGGGGTAGATTTGTAACCGAGTAAGTGGAACTCGTGCTTCCAACTGGGTCCACTGGGCAACCATTTGAGCCATGTAATCAGCTCATTTTTTGTTCTTGAAAGATGGTTTATCTCGGGTCTTGAACTAAAATCGAGTTAATTTGATCAATACAATAACAAGAGATACGTGAACTCACCCACTCAAGTTTCAAGAAACAGACCATTTGAGACTGCATCAAGCATTTGCACATGAATTTTGCAAGCTCCCATTCCCCGCAATCCTGAAATGGATAATAAAACTGGTCCTTCCGTCAATACAAAAATTGGTCGGACTCCATCTCCTGCATTATGTTCTTGCCTTCATCATAGATATATCCTGATGTGGGGTGATAGCGAAAGCACAGCTTGGGAGGGAGAGCTCCCTGTGCTATGTGGGGAAGTGTACCTTCAGAAGGGATGTCAGAAAATGGATAGTAGTCAGCAGGTCTAGGGAGGGGGCGAGTACGACCACCACTCAGTATGGCAGAGGGAGTCCAACAGGTATTCTGGCTGTTGAGGTGCTGCACAATCTCATCCGCCAATTGAAATAGCAGTTTGCAATTTGGGCACTCCATCAAAATTGGTATGCCTCACTCAGGTTGCAGATGTACTGTCAGAGTCAAAAATCTTTTGAAGTCTTTTAAACTCCGAGTGAAGTAGATTTTGTGTGAGCCTGCAATATTTAGTGATCTTTCGAGTTGTCTGCTCTGCCATATCTGTTTCACTGTACAACTTTGGATTTGCTTGCATTGTGCTACTAGTTCACCTGATAACATGGACTCTAGTTCTAGTCATACCTTTGCATCGGATGACACGCCCACACCCACTGCCACCAGCTTATCGTCACCTTCTCATAGATCTTCCCCCGTCAGCAATGCCCGCATTCATAGCCGTCTTCAATTCACTCCAATCAGAAAGAGATGGGAAACCCAGCTTTCCGTTAGCTATGTTAACAGTGGCATTGGCAAAATAAAGCAGGTGGGTATAACAAGATGGAAGTGACCTACTTAGAGATCCTAATGTTCAACTACAGAGAGCAGACAACAGACGTGAGGTTGCAAAGAGTCTCCAGAAAGGACTCAGTTGCTTTTCTGATCTAGCCGTCAAGAAAGCTGTCTCTTATAAACATGCTTCCCGTGAAATCATCTGTCATGAAATGCTATCATATGCATGGCGTTTCGAGGCCAGGGAGAGAGCGATCAATTTTCTCCAGCAGATACAGTCTGAGGCTGAAGAGGAATTGGATGTTGTTGAGGGAGAGTTGGAAGATATGAAAGAGCTGTTGGGAATGCGAGGTATTAAAGATGATATTGATGAGGAGGACATGAAGTATTCTGAGGCTTCTAATCCCACCATGGCTGGCGACTTCGATGCTGTCAACAATGAAGTTTATCACTTGGAATGTCAAGCATTTGGCCGCGGATTGCCTTATTGCCTTTGGAACAAGTCCTATCACAATTCAATCCTGAAGGTGACAGGTACCATGTGCCGCTAGGATATGATTCGGACAACACATCGGAGAATTCTGACGGTGCTGGATAGGAACAAAGCTTGTGAACGCTTCATCTCACCAATCGCAATGGCAATGTGAATATTTTCTCGCTTTTTTCATTCTATCATTCATTCACATTCCTTTCATTTTCTTTGCCCATGCCCACTTTTCCTATTTGTATGTTGAAATACTGAGTGGTATAGTTTTTTTTATCTCTGGACATTGTTATCGATGCAGATGTATGTTTTGAGAAATTGAATAGATTCATTGTGATTTAGCTGATTTTACTGCGATAGGGATATCTACATACAAGAAGATGAGTCTAGTCACATGTGCAAGCATGCTAAGTAAAGCTGTACTGCTAGTGGTTAGTGGTCAATTGACCCATCATATCAGGCTAAGATTACTGAATATCAAGCTCATGTTCAAGCTCGTGTTGATGGCGGCTCAAGGGCAGCCCAAGGCCTCGAGTTTGTGTTCATGTTGGTGAGTCATCCCATGCCTTGAGGACAGCCTCGGAGGAAGTAGAACTCACCCATTTCGTGTTTTACACCCCAAAGCCTACACAATTCCCCCATCCACCTTCTCCTCCCTTTTTTCACTCACTCATCTGATTATGGCGTCCAAACCTAAGCCCAAGGGAAAGAAAAAGGCAAATGTGAGTCTCAAATTCACATTTGTGTATCCATTAACTGGTCATTGCAGATGAAATCTAAGCCTTGCAAAGGTTCTGGTCTCAATCCGTCAGGCAATCCCGTCAACTCTCAACTGGCCCTTCAAATTGATCGACCAGAGACTCCTTTAGACAAGCATCCTCCTCACTTGCAGCATCATCACCAGCAATTCATGGACCCTCCATCATCATCATCCTATACTCACCCTTATCAGGAGCACTTCGCAAACCAACAGCCCGCAAATCTTTCATCATCATCTTATACCCACCCTTATCACCAACAGCAGTTTATGAACCAGCAGCCTGCAAATCATTCATCATCTCAAGAGTTTTTACCCTTGTCCTATGATGCGGCCATTAGTTACCCACAACTTTATAGCCAACAGCCTATGTACTTCCCACCTTCTACCTCCAACTATCTTCCACAGCAACCTTCCACCAACACCAACTATATCTCGCCACAATTTCCACCAAACTCGAGCCGACAAGCGAGTTCCAGTCTTCTTCTCGCCCAATCCTACGCTACTCAACCTTCATATGCACCCTACGTGCTCCAGCCCAATGCCGCATCTAGTAGTGGTGCCCAGACGGTGCAGCCGCCGGTGCCCCCATCTGTTCAAGGGTTGACGTCTGTGGAGTCCAGTGCGGGCCCCATCAGAGGGTCACAGGCACATCTCGCTGGTCGACTTGGAGAAGGCCGGATGCCTGGCGGGCTGCGATTTGTCTATGCATATTCTCCCATGCGCAGCAGAGAAATGTCTCCTGGAGAATGGAGTGAAGGGGTTATCAGGGTATGTTATAGCTTTTTTATTTCAATATATTTACTAATTTCCTACCTATTTTATAGATGGGCTCGAATACCTGGAGCATCATCGAAACTTTCCGCTCAAAACAACAATACTCTTCCACAAGACTCCCCCCCACTCCTGCACCTCTTGCTAGGCCTGTGAGGTCGGTCCCTGCTTGCACAGACCCCTCCACCGGCTTACACTCGGCCCCTGCCCCACGTCCAGCAGTCAAGCAACTGCCACGCAACACCAAGGGCCGCCACAAGCTGGGCAAGCAGCTGTTGGACATTGCGAAGACCAAGATCGACTACTTTACTTTGAATGAAATTGCCATGCCAGGCTCTGACAAGAAGAAGCTTTTGGTGTCCAAGGCTCTCAATCAAACTGCGTCGGAAAACGGCTACGGAGAGGGGCCTTTTACATGGGCCCCCTCCAATATCAAAGCTATAGGCAATCACATGTCACTCCTGCGCAATGAAGTCAAAACCGTTTGTCGGTATCACAGCCACTCAGGTTTCCAATTCTATTACCCCCCTGGCTCTCCGGCTCCTTAGATGCAGTAGAATACACAATTGATAAAGTCAAGCAACTACTCCAAGTGCCCATGAGACCATTTATACACAAGATTGTTATGGTATGTTAATCCACGTCTCATCTTCATTAGGCTTATCTTACACTTAACTGCAGCATCCAGATGGGCAACAGACCATCCATTTTTTCCAAGGAGATGTATTTGTTAATTGTGTCATTGACTTTGTTTGGCTCGGCGGGTTTGCTCACCTCCTGCAACCGGGTCGGCTCGATATTGTCCTGGCCATTGTGTCTGCAGGGCTTTGCTGTACAATCATGGAAAATGAGAGTGGTGTGTTTGTGAAGACTCCATTCACAGCAGTAAAGTTTCAGGATATTTACAATTATGCTATAAAGCAGCTGGAGACCATTTGTGGCAATCCGGATTTGTTGGCCGAGCACATTGCGCTGGAACAGTTTATTATTGATCTGGGCAATAGAATTTATGGTATTGTGTCTAACACTACTAGTACTACTTCAGTCTTTCGTATATTTTATCATATCTGGTATATGATTACTTTGATTACCTCAGAAATGTTCATATCTCTTGCGATAGTATCTTGCTAATGTGAATCTCATCTTACCAAAGTGCAAAATTGCGATAGTAAGGGCCATGCTATATATGGTAATTTAATGCTACTTAAAATGGTAGGTAGGGTCGGGTTTCAGGCTAATACAGAAAAAGCAAACTTGCAAGAACTTGCAAAATTTTTAGTGTAAATAGATGTAGCATTTTCATTTTCAGTCCGTATGCTGACAAAAACTGAGGCCATCTGACTCTGGGTTCAAGAGGACCTACTATTACAATCGTATAGCTCAGGACGCTGTGGGGAACATTGTGGCCTTCCTGCCTACATCTGATTGTTGTTGCTGCCTGGCTCTTGCATTTAATTTCTTCCTTCCACCTTGACTTGGCGATATTCCAGGTCAGTTCGACATACTCCGATAGGGGATCAACACGCTGCATTGATGTTACCAGCACCACTGTCCTGGCCCGTCCACAACAAAAACTTGACATGATTCAAGGACACTGGTCTTAAATGTCCTCCACATCATTTGCTCGTGTATCGAGCATTCAGGCTTAACATTCCGACTTTTACCTTGTTTCCATAGACATAACGAGGTCCAGCCCGTGGCTCTGCCACTGGTGCGATGTTTTTGTGATATAATAAATAATAATAATAATAATAATACCACTGTTAAGTGATCAAAATGGTAAGTAAACTTATGCTGTCTGTAATGTATGTTAAGTCTTTGAACCCTATGATGCATGTTTGACTTGCAGTTCTGTTGTTGAATGTCCTTATAAGCCTGCCCTAAACTTGTGCACAGTATACTGAATTCAAGCAGATAGTTCATTGAACCTTTACAAATATTAACATATATTGTAACGTAAAAAGTCTATGGTATTACATTGATAAACTGATGAGAAATAACAAAAGAGACTACTAAGATGGTAAAGGACGAAAATATAATCTAATAACAAAGCACTTTGGTAAAAAGGGTGAGAATTGGGGAAAAATCTACTTGCCAGTGATAAATAAAGCCAGTCAGAATTCCGGGATACACCACATTGATGGTACATCTGTCATTTGAACCATGTGGAAATAGCACTTTCATTTTCTCTCCTGAAGTGCAGCGAGACAATGCAACATAACAATGCCCATGGGAAAACCCTGGAACATATAAATCCAGCCCAACCTGTGTCACTGATTGACCTTAAGACTTGTTGATGGTCATGGCAAAGGCAGCACGAACAGGGAATTGACAACATGATAGCTTGATGGGCAATTCTTCTGATGAAGGTTCCAATGTGAGGCGTGGAATAAAAGCTATCTTTCCTGCATTTTTTCCTCCCAAGACATGGCACTTCAATACTTTTCTCTTCATCTCTATCAAAATCATGCGTGTTCCATTACAGAGTCCATTTAGGGGATCAATATTGTGGAGGAGCATAAGTGGACATCCAGCTTTAAGTTTGAGGTGCGCTTCAGGAAGGCCAGATACT